TGTGAAGATAAGTTCCATCTGTGTGAAGATAAGTCAAAAGTCCTGCTTGACCATGGCTGGCTTTTCTTGGAAGCATGAATGTTTCCTCTGTGTTGACCCTCCTCTTTATAGACTGGACAGTGGCTCAGGTCCATCTCATGGGGTCTCCATGGTCTCCCTGAACAAGAGGACAGGTGACTCACCACGGTTACAGGACATTTTGAGAGATGTTCTATAGTCCCCTGGAACTTAGTCGACCTTGGAGAGCAAGGGGCAAAAACTGTTTTTTAAGTCCCTCTGACCAGGTTAGTATAGGCCTCAAAGTACAGCTATTAAGCATCCAATAAGGTTAGTTCCACAAGTCTGATACTTTTAATTACCATGTGCTATGTAGATAAAGCTTGGTAAAAAAAGCGAATGTTCTCAGATAAACCTTGACTAGATATATATTTTGTTCCTTAGACTAGTTGACTAAACTATGACCTTAGAAAATTTAAGATTATGTGTATATTACTTTTGTCTCATCCTTTATATATCATAACAAACCTACACAGACTTTCATCACTTGCTTAGGCTTTCTCATTTTTTCTATTTTGGAAAATATCTCCATTCTCATATCCTTTTAACATCTTTTACATTTTCATTTTCGTTTTTTAATAATTATGAAACACAGTAACATTAACAATAAATTTTCCATCTGTTGTGAGAGACCACGTGTGATTAGGACCAAATTACACACAGTTGTCTAGCCCTTGTTTCTATCTTTTTTGTGTTTAGTGACATTAGAAATCTGTTTGCTCTGTCATTAGAGAGAGTAGAAATCTCAGTTTCAGTTGTGTGTTTCTCATTTTGATCTTTCGTGATTAGCGGTTTTGGCTTCAGTGTTCAAGGCAACATCTTTTGGGTCACACACGTATGGCTCACTTCATCGGTACTACAACAAGTCTTATCTTTTGTTCTAAAACCCACTTTGTCTGATATTTGAACGTTTTCCTGTAAAAATGATAACAGTTTGAGAAGATGGATATGTTTAGTCTGATTTAAATCTTACACAATGCATGTGTATATCAAAACATCATTAGCATGCACAATTTTCTGTTTGTGTGTATCAGTTAAAAACAAATTGCGATGCTATCATTGCCATGTAATGTATTTTATATATGCCATAATATGTCACTTTTATTTTGGCTTCTGGCAACCAACATTACATTCTTCTTTGTTTTCACCACTCTCGGGGATTGTCTTTCTCGGTGTGGATTGCCATTTCTGTCTCTCTTAGCACTCTCCTGAGGAGAGCCGCCTTTGAGGTATCCTGTAATGTAGGTCTGCTAAGACGGGATTACTTTACCTTTTCTTTACCTTGTCCTCTAGTTCTTCTCTGACTTTAGAATGAGCTTTCACTAGACATAGGATTCCAGGCTTACATTTTTGTTTTTGATCAAGCACCCCAATGGGAGTACTGTGCTTCCTGCTTCCTAGAGCAAGTCCACTGAAGCACCTTTTCTGTTGCTCGGTGTGTGTCTAATTTTATGTGACTGCTCTTGTAATGTTCTTTTTGTCTTTTAGTCCCAGCAAGTTTGAGCATGCTGATTTGTACACATATGTGCATATATGTGCCTTTTGTGCTTATTAATTATATGCTTGGTTCTCTGAGCTTCCTGGATATATGGTAACATATTTTGTTAATCTGTGAAGATTATTGGTTGTCATCGTCTGAAATACATTCTTTGCCTATTCTTCCTCCTCTGGATGAATCTGTTACATGAATGTTACACCATTGGCTATTATGCCACTGTTGCTAAATCATTGTGGGTACTTTTATTTATTTATTTATTCTCTTTGTGTTTCAGTATATTTTCTTCAATTCACCGATAGTTTTCTGGGCTGTATTTTCTCTCCTAGTAAATTCACTGGAGTCTTTTCTCATCTCTGTCACCATGATTTTTAATTCAGTGCTTCTAATCGTCTTACATTTTATTTGTAATTATCTGGTGAGGCATTCTCATCTATTTATATATGTTGTGCATATTTCATTCCAGAGTATTACAAGATAATAATCACACTTAATTTAAGTCTTTGATAGTTTCCAATGTCTCAGAGTTTGATTTTGTTGATTGCTCTGTCCCTTGAATGTGGTTGGTATATCTTTTTCAGATGTTGTTGGATATAGTTGTTGAACAGTAGAGATTAAAGTGAAGAATATTTATGACTACAAATAGTGATATTTCTTCTCTGTCCGGTCATTAATGTCAGGTTTGAGTTAGTGTGGTCAACAGTTCAGTTGGGATTCAGCTTGTTTATACCTCAGTGCCCCATCATTTAATTACTCTAACATATTGTGATGGGTTAAATGAAAATGTCCCCCATAGGCTCCAAGTATTTGAACATTTTGTCCCCAGATGAAGGTGCTGTTTTGGGAGGTCTTAAAAGGCGTGGTTGTCCTGGAAGAACCATGTCATGAGGGTGGGCTTAGGGAGTTCTTAAAAGCCTTGCCCAATCTCCAGGCGTAGTCTTGCTTCCTGTGCCTGCGTGGTGATGTGAGAGCTTAGCTTCTGCTGCTCCTGCTCCAGCAACCTCCAGCCACCATGCCTCCCTGCCATGACAGACTGTAATTCCCCTGGAACCGTAAGTGCAAATAAACCCTTCCTTTATAAATTGCTGGAGACACTGTTTCTATCACAGCAACAGAAAAGTGACTAATACACATATTATTATCTATTTCCTGAAAAAAGTGAACAAACAACAGCATTTGTTCCTTAGGATAAGGAGTTAGGCAGGAGTTTGTGTTTTTCCCACAGCAGTGGCCTCACTTCTTGTTCAGGCCAATAGGAAGAGCCAGAATTTTGCTTTAAAAAAATGGCATCACCATATAAAAAGATTCTTTTCCCCAAATGTTTATTATAGCATTAGTCACTGACGAGTTATGTGTATACCTGTAATCTCAGCACTTAGGAGCCTGAGGCAAGAGGATTGCTGTGAGTTTAAGGACAATTCTGGTTGCATGATGAGATCCAGGCCAGCCTGGGTTACACTGTGAGACTTCATTTCAGAAAACAACAACAACACCTAAAACAAACAAAATTGAAGAATAAGAAGAAGAGAAAGAATGTTGCCTGTATATAATGGAGTATTCTTCTGCCATAAACAAGAATTAAATCCTGTTATTTGCAAGAAAGTAGGTAAAACTGGAAGAAACCATGTTAAGTGGAGTAAGTCAGACACAGAAACATAAAAAAAGCTGTCTCTTGTGAGGGAAAGCTAAAGAAATTAAACTCAAAGTAGGACAGGGTTTAACAGTGACTACTGGCATACAAGAAGGATAATGTCATGGGGTACAGAAGGAAGTTGGGTAACAGATACCAAAACTACTTCCATAAGTGGAAGAAATATTCGTGTTCTGTACTGCAGTATGACTGCACTTTACAATAACCCGTTACATATTTTATGAAGAGAGGAACTTCCTAAAACCATAAATGTTGAGATGAAAGTATTAATGATCCTTGTCTTATTGTCCATTGCATGAACGTGCTGAAATATCCCACTGCTTACCACAAATATGTACAATTCTGAGTTGTGTTAATTTAAAAGAAAAAAAGGATTTTACGGAAGAGCTGTGTGTGAGGTAAGAGCAATATTATTCTTGGTCTTCTGAATCCCAAGCGGAAACTGATGTCTGCAGATGTCTGTTCTTAAAAACATGGTGTTATTATCTTTATTATTCTTTTGACCCAAAATTTTAATACACAATCACCATTAGAAATTTGGACTACAGTGAAAGGCATTTTTCTTTATTTGATTTTTTTTAATTTTTGAGAATTTCATGCATTAATATTGTTGTTGCATTATTTCCATCCCTCTGAGGCCCCCACCAAATTCTCCCATGTCCCCCCACTCCCTTTCAATTTCTTGTTCTGTTCTTTAATTATTATGATTTATATAAATGTATACATGTATATACATATAAGTATATATAATGTACTGAGTCACTAAGTGGTGCTTATGTGTACCTGTGTTTAGGACTGTCCATTTGGGATTAGATAAACTCTCAGGGGGAAAACTGACTCTCCCTCTCTCAGCATTCACTGATTGCCTATAACTCTTCTTTTTGAGGTGGGACCCCGTGACATTCCCTTCATCCACCTTGACATGTCAACTGGTTTTGCCATTATGCAGATCTCATTAAACTACCATACTGTGGAGATTTCATTGGTGAAGCTTTTCTATCATGTCTAGAACACATTAACTTGTGGTAGGTGTCTTGTCCCTCTGGTGCTTACATTCTTTCCACCCCCTCTTCTGCAATGTCTCCTGAGCCTTAGATATAAAGGTTGTAGATGCATCACTTAGAGTGGGGCACATCACAGTCACTTATTCTCTGTGTTTGACCAGCTGTGGAGCTTTGTAATCATGTCCATCTGTTGCAAAAAAAAGCTTCTTTGAGAAGTGGTGAGAGGTACACTTGCCTGTAAATATAAGGGTACATATTTAGGATATAGTAAGAAATTACACTGGTCTAGGGAAGTGGCTGAAGTAGGTTTTTCTTTTTGGTTAATTACCACTCCAGTCATGTGTATTTGACTACGTTTACAATACCACAAATGATTTCTTTCCCAACGAGCAGGCCATAAGTCCAATTAGACAGCTGTTGATTACCCCCAAGATAAAAGTGCCACTACTGCACCAATAGAGATAGTTTGCTGGGCTGGTCACTGTTGTGGCTCATAGACTTTATCGCTGTTTTGGACTATTGATTTGTTTTCTCCCTTAGCAACTTGCATAGTATCTTCTTATACTATGAAAGCTAGTCATCAGAGGGGAGGCCTCCAGGTCAGTTCCAGCTCCATTGCTCCAAGTCCTGTGCCCCAAGTATATCCTGTCTTTAGCAATAGGATCTTACCTTCAAGCTCTGGGAGGCAATCAAGAGCTGTGGCAACAACCTGTATTATTTTGGGAGTCTCTCGGACTGTCCTGACCAAACAACTCAAAGGGAGGTTTCCCAGAAAGGCATTTTTTTCTTCTAGGACTGTTTCCTACATGGTTTGTCTTCTCAGTCATTGTCCACAGGACTCTGAGAAGTAGTAGGACTATGCAGACTTGAAGCCCAGCTTCATCTCCAACCTTGTGGAAAGGGACTGTACATCATGGGGCAGAGCCTATGCTCCCCTATGCCACTAGGACAGAAGAAAGACTTTTTTAAAAACTTGAAATTAGTTGAAAGTCATTCACAGCACTACAACTACCTCAAGATTTATTTTTTCTGGTTCAACTCTAAATTTGAAGGACACTGAATGTGAACTCTGAAGTCTTAACTCTGAGCTCCGGGACATATTCCTGATGCAGCACTGATGAAGAATCTGTCACGGAAAGGTACGATGTCATGGCAGACAAAACAGCATTGAGCAGTGGTACCACAGAGACACAGGGAAAGTACCACCACTAAAGATGTAGAGCTCATGATGTCTCCTTTAATCTACAAGTAGAACGCCTTCATTCTTGCATCTAGAATGGACCTCAGCACATATCAGTCACACCATAACAGTTTGTTTTATAAATAAAGGGATGAATGAGGCATCTCCTGAATTATTTTTGTATTGAAGTCTCAAGAGAATGCTAGACTCGTGATCATAAAGATGAGTGAGAGGCAAGTCCTTGAGTTGGAATAGGTTTACCAAGTCACATTTCATCTGTTAAACAAGTAGCATATGTTATACTCCATAAATACAATTCATGCTGTTTTGTAGGCTGCATTTTCACTCCCCATTATTACTTTTGATATATCCCTATTAAAAAGAAGCAAATAAATTTATATTTAGAAATTGGTATTGGAGTCATGAAGGATGTTAATGGTCAAACAACTGACCAATTGTATTTGTCCAGCTCTGTGACAGGTGCCATGAAAGTTAAGCATAAAAAAGTATTGGAATGAGTCTTATCAAAGAGCTGCAGGAGATGGGCAGAATTTGATAGAAGGCGAAGAGTCGAGGAAAAAGCCCCAGCTGTGTGCTGTTGATAAGAAATGCAAGAGGCTTTAGATCAATATCTCAGACCCACTGTCCAAGTATCTAGTGCATAAGAATTCATTGATCATTTAGACTCATTTATGAATGTAAAAAATCCATTAATCTACCAACATTTTACCTTTGCTATTCTCCCTCTTGGAATCTAAAATATTCTCTAACAACTTCTGTTTCATTGCAAATTATTTTTTCACAGTGGAAAAAGTCACTTTCTATGCTGCCAATTTACCCCATTATTGTGGTAGGATTTTGTTGCCCCAGCAACTTCACAAGCTGAACTGCGCTGCTGTACCCACCTGTGATGTCACAGCAGATGGCAGCAGAATGAAATGATTCTCTCTGAACTTGCTGTTTGAATTGTCTTAGCAACATTATTTACTGAAGAGAAAAATTGCATATCTACTTTGAATGTGGGACACTTTTAGCCATTTGATTGTCCCAGAGCACAGTTCTCCACATTTGTAGCAGTCAATCATCCCAGGACTGAAATGTAAGTTGTCCTTGGTTCCTGTCCCTGGCCCTGTTTATTGCTTATACAATGCCCATTCCCTTTGCTTCTTCCCTTATTATGTCTTGAATCCTCACCATTCTCCAATATTATTAGTGATGCACAATAACTGAACCCATTTATATTCTGTAAATGGATCTAAAAACCCTAAGAGAATAATAGTGATTTGGCCCTGGACCCAGGTTTAAAGTAGCCCAGCACACAGGTGTATTTTCCTGGTGATATCATTGGTTCAAGATTGAGCACATGAGCTATTCGACCAACCATATGGTAAAAGAACTTCTATCTGTATTGAAAGACAGATGCTTTCACAGACAGCATCGAGAAAACTGTTTTGCCATAGCATTCAACATCATAAAGGATGGAACCTGAGACCAATGTGACACCTGGTGGTAGAAAAGAGCAAGTGACTAAAACAGCATCATAGCTCTTGGCTTTGCCTGGTTTGTTGACCCTCAACCCCCAGCTCTGGACTTCCTGTTGTTTGATACAATACATTCTATTCTTGTTTATTATAGTTTAGTCTAAGGGTTTCCTGTCTATTGAGAGCATCTTAAATAACAGAGTTCTGGTGTCCAATATGAGTTTGTGGTCTTGGAAAAGCCCCTTCATGTCTCTTATCTTCGCTAGCCTACTAATCAATGAAGGAAATCAGTAATCGAAGCCTCCATACTGTCTTCTGTATTCTCAGCTTCTATGTCTAAAAGGCACAGCACAGTTTTATGTGCCATGGATTTTCAAAACAGTCTAAGAACTTAAGTTCTTAAAGGCATGAAGCTTAAGATAGAAGGGATAGAGGATATTTTATAGAATGCTGTATTTTAAGAACATGCCCACCAAGTCAAATGGCTTAGCATACCTGAGAGCTTAACAAGAGGTACTTTCACTGTTTAATCTCTAGTCAGTATAACAGAGGCAATGAGTCTTTGGAAAAGAACAGAGTATGCGGAGAGCAGGTTTCCTGCCCCCCTCCCACATCACCTGTGGTGGACAGGTGGCTGAGTTCTTCCTTTCCCACTAAGCAAGGGGGCTCATGGAGAATCAGTCATGAAGACTGAGGAGGCCAGCAATTGGGGAAGATGTGAGTTTATTCTCCATAAGAAATTTACCAGGCTAGTGGCCCACTGATTTCCCCCTTTTATCAGTTTGGATACAGGAAGATAGAACTAGAAAATAGACATTCTCAGAAAGGGAGAGTGGAACAGCCTATCTTGAGTCCACCAAAGATTCCTGAGAATGACACCAAGAAGGGCATGTGACCTTACCTGGGCCATCTGCCTTATCAGAGGGCCTTCAAATCACAGAGCTGTGCGGTTGAGAGATGCCCTGCGGCCTCAAGAGCAGATCTCCATGTGGCACCTAACATAAGGTTCACTAAATGTAGGTTCATAGTATACATTTATAGAAGGCAGTCAGAAAATAATTGAGTTAATCAGTGAGCTCTTCTTGAGTGGGACTTTGCATAGTCCCCACACATGTTTTTGTTCTGTTTGTTTTTTTAGAAAAATGAGAATAAAGTCAATATGCTTGGACTCCACTTACACTCCACTTACACTACATCATGCTTCAGGATCACACTCAGCTTCAGACTCTGACCCCTTCCCCCTTCTCCGGCTTCACGTTTTGCTACCCCTTTACAGACACCATGAACTCACAGCACGCTGAACACTTGCTGGCCCCTAAGATTGGTGTATCTTCACACACACACACACCAGGCCCTGGCCCCTAAATACTTTCTCCTCTGGTCTGTCTGGAAAACCTCTCTCCTCTGTCAAGAAGAAATGTTAAAGACTTTCATAGTTGTCTTATATATGATTTAGTTTTCAAGACACCTTGTGCATCTCTTTTCACTAATCCTTTTAAAATTCCTGACCCATGTTTAGCGATGGTCTTTGATGCAATCCAAATCTGGGTTTTTTAAAAACCTTCAGTTAATAACATTTACTTTTTCCTGTGTTCATTTCCAGTGAACATTTTCCATTGCTTTATTCACATATTTTTGCTTTACAAAAGCTCTTTGGAATTTGAATTACAGTCTTTAGGATAGTGTTTGCTTTTTATATTCTGGGAAAGGATTAGAAGCAGTTGTCCATAATCCTTTTAATTTTATGAATATAATGGTTTCTAAGGGCTACCCAATTAACATTCTTGCTTCAAAAATGAGAAATCTGAGATTTTTGGAGGTGAACAGATCTCTCCAGCTTTGTACAATGCTGCACCTAACATAAGGTCTGCCCTAATGCAGGTTCATAGCACATATTTATGGAAGTCAAGAAGAAAGTCATTTAGTTGGTTAGCTATGCAGAAGTTTGCATAGGCCTATGTATGACTACTAGGGTTACTTTAAAACAAAGTCAGAACATAAGCCCTGCAACTTCAATAGATGGTAAAGTGTTATTGTTTTTGCAATAGTGAAGACAAAGCAAAATATATCACCTTAAATTGAGCTCATTCAGATGTCCGTGGTGAAAATGGTAAAACACTACAGTACTGTGTGGTTGTCACATTGACTTCAAAAGCTCTGGTCACAGCTCTGAGAATCCTGGAGAAGATGCCAAGGCTACAAATGACTTGTTTGGCAGGAGGATAATATTCATAAAAAATAGAATTGGCATAGGCTACATACCTGGCAGAACAAATTAAATGTTCTCTGCACCATTCCCAGAACTTAAGTAAATTCTCAAAAACAGACAGACCCCTATAAGTCACTAAGAGGACCACTTTTTATATTGTTAAGCATTTTTATAGCCTGTTGACATGCAAAATCTCATTTACTTACCAAATGTACACATAGAAGAAAATGTTTCTTCTATTTTTAAAATGATAGGATTTTGGTTCAGACGAAGTAAATACCTTCCTCAAATTTACTGCTAGGAGTTTATGTAGATGGTATACCAGCTTTCTTATCCCTTTGTCTCTAAATCAAGTTGGCTTCCTCTAATCACAGGATTCTCTTCTACAGATGACATGGCATTTGGCATCCCTAGATTCATCTGCAATATCTCAGTCTGGAAGAAATAGTTTTGAAGGACAGCTATTTTAAAATATTTTATTTTTTATTTTATGTGTATGAATGTTTGCCTGCATGCATGTAAGTGCACCTGTGTCATCTATTGCCCATGGAAATAAGAAGACAGATCAGATCCTCTGGAACTGGAATTAGGGACAGTTGTTAGATACTATGTGCATGCTGAGAGCTGAACCTGGGTCCTCTGCAAAAACAGCCAGTGCTCTTAACCACTGAGACATCTTTCCAGCCCGTCTCCTTGGGCCTTGGCATTATCCATCTGAGGCTACTGAAATGTTCCTAACTAGCCAGGGCTGCTTTGCCCTCCTGGAGAGCTCCTGAGTAGCCTGACTAGAGCCATTTGGCTCCTCCAATATAAAATCACATGGACCTTAATCACTGTGATTCAAGATAGATTATAAATTGTGATATCTTATTAAAATACAGTTTACTTTTATAGCTAGAGAAGCAACTCAAAACCTTAATGGAATTCTGTTGATACTGACTGGTTGATGTGTTTGCAAGGCTTTCAGACAAAAAGAGGAAGGTTAGTTGCTTGTTTAGAAAAGGATACAGTCAGAAGGTAACTGCCACTTTTCTCCCTTTGTCAGGTGGTATTTGGAGATTACTAGACATTCAGAAGATGGTCACATGGTAAAGAGAGGAAGTGAATTACTCTGGGG